CTTTTATGTAAAATAAAAAGTTTAATAATCAGAAATGAATCTGAATCTGAATATATAGAGAAGTTTCCTGTATCCTGTAAGCATTAAAACTGCAAGATCTTCTCATTCCAGAACTAAGAAACCGGACACTTCCTTCCTTCTACTCTAGATACTCGCCCCTTACACGTCTATTTATACCTTAATATTTGATTCATAGAGCTCCCCACCCCTAAAAATTTGAAAATTAATTTGTTAAAAAAATTCAGTAAAGCAAGGTTTAAGTGCATTTTTAAATCTTTCATATTTATACCATTTGCCCATGTTTTTTGCACTGTAAACTTCTTGTTTGTTAAATATTTCTATTATGTAGGGTTGAGATACCTCCAACTGAAGGTCGGCCATCTTCTGTCTAATGTTCCCCTGTGCCTGTGGTAACCCAATGACCTGCCCGGACATTAGAGCAAATCCACGAAAAAATTGGAAAACAGCTCACTTTGTTTTCACAAATTTCTATATTTTTTTTTCACGGATTTCGAAGTCCAATCAAGTAAAGATCTGAAAGTCAAAATTATTGATTGCAAATACAAACAAAAGCTAGATGTTTTTATTTAGTGATGCATGGTTGCAATAAATGGTATTCAAACATAAATCTTTAATTTTAATGCACAAAACCGCATTTTTTTTAAAGAATTGGCTAATGGCCGTAAAATAGTTGATCTTTCACATTTAGGGTAACAAAGAGGTTTAAACAAAGAATTTGTTTTTTGCTGTCCACATGACATAATAACAATATTGTTAAAAAAAAACTATTTACCAAAAAATGGATACAATAATTTGAAAATCGTGCAAAAAATCAGACAAGAGAGGTCCATTGAGTCCATTCGTTGAATACGAGTATAAAAAAATTACAAAGGAGGTGGGGAGGTTACACATTAGTATTTTAAGATAAGACGAAAAGATGCTCTTTTGTATTTTCAACCTTGAAAAAAGTGGATTAAATCACAGTTAGACTTTCACTTCCACAATCTTTCAACAACTTCTCACTCTGTGTAAAGAGTGGTATATTTGAGCGTATATTTAATGGTGTACAGACTAGTACAGTATCTAGGCATAGGATGAGACTAAACCAAGGTTCTCATAGAACTGCTTGTCTTGTGCCTACTGCCTGTGTGCCTACCCAAGACAAGTCACAGGTCTTCATGGCATAACCAGTTGTGGGACAGGGGGGGGGG